AATTTTATCAAATATTAAATATATAAAATTTTATTTTATTTTTTTATAAATAAAAAAATAAAAATTTAAAATAATTTAAAGTTAAACAAGTAAATACATTAACATATAATGCAACAAAATAATATCTAATAACCAATTGTAATAAATACACACTGCTATACGTATCTAATAGATCTCTAACAGATCTAGTAGCAAGTTCATAAAAAACAATACACAAACTGCCATATATATCCACATTAGGTTGGATTATTAAATTAAGTTTGAGAAGAGTAGAATTGGAAAAGGAATTAGACAAGACAATTTAAGTTAGATTAAGTAAGCCAATTAAATTAGATGAGTAACAATTAATTAATAATATATTTACAAATATATATATAGAAGAATAAATTTATATATTTTTTACTACAAATGGATTCTCATGAAATCTTTGCCGACAGAAGAAATTTCTTACAAAAATTTTTTTTCTTAAAAAAACAAACCCTTCATCTCCATTTATAAAAAGAAATATTTTTGAAATTCCCACAACGTGAATCTCGACGGAGTTTCGTGGTTGACATAGAAAATTCCCAATCTCTATTCAATAGGAGGCCCTAATGTACCAAAAAGACAATAAAATAAGAGGCCCTACCAAATGGTAGGTGTGAAGAAAAGATGTTGAGTGGAGGGTAAATATTAGTGAGGGATAATGGTAGAATAAGGTTAAACTTGAGGTGTTTAACTGCTAAATCACCTTTCTTTAGAAAATTGGGAAACCTCCTCTCATATCAAACAGGCGACACAAACTAAGGCAATAATTTTTCCCACAATTTTAGCGAGTGTAACTTTCTCCCAACACACAATTATCAGCTAGAGAACAACCAGAAACCAGCAACGATATTCCAATAAAGATGGTAGAGGCTTAACTTCATCAGTTCTAGGCCTTTATGAACAATACCAAAACCAAATAGTACAACGCGAATGAAAGCAGCTTCTTTTCTCCTTTTCTTTTATGAAAGGTTTCATAACAAACTCTTAAGCAGATGCATAAAAAATCAATTTGCATAGGTTAAATTATATTCCACGCAACCCAACCAAAACCTTATTAAAACCCAATCTGGTCTTCTTCCAAGAGAGACCCATTCAGAGATTTCCCCGACCATGCTTTCCAACAACCCAAACGAACTCCTACAAAAATCATTACCTAACAACCTGCCACAATAGATCATCAAGATGTATAAAGCAACAATCTGGGCATCCCAATATCTTGCTTTCTCATCGTCTCAGTATCTATAGTGAGGAGGCTTGTAAGGACCCTCAATGGGGACACTAATGTAATCAGCCTGGTCCTTGGTGAGCTTGGTCAGCTTGGCACCAAGCTTGCCAAGATGAAGAGCAGCAACCTTCTCATCAAGGTGCTTTGGCAAGACATAGACCTTCTTCTCATACTTACCTGTTCTCTTCTCCTTCCAGAGCTCGAGCTGGGCAATGACCTGGTTTGTGAATGAGCAGGACATCACAAAGCTAGGGTGTCCGGTAGCACAACCCAAGTTCATGAGTCGTCCCTCAGCCAACACAATTATGCCTGAGTTGGTATCAGGGAAGACCCACCTATCAGTTTGAGGCTTGATGGTGATGCGTTTCACACCAGGGAAGTTCTCAAGCCCAAGCATGTCAATCTCATTGTCAAAGTGACCAATGTTGCTAACAATGGCATTGTTCTTCATCTTCCTCATGTGATCTACCTTGATGATATCCTTGTTGCCAGTGGTGGTAACAAAGATGTCAGCCTCAGAAACAACATCCTCAAGGGTCAGCACTTGAAGCCCCTCCATAAGAGCCTGGAGAGCACAAATGGGATCAATCTCAGTCACAATGACGCGAGCTCCAGCCTGCTTCAAAGCAGCAGCACAGCCCTTGCCAACATCACCATAACCACAGACAACTGCAACCTTGCCAGCAATCATAACATCGGTAGCCCTCATTAAACCATCAGGGAGAGAGTGGCGGCATCCATACAAGTTGTCGAACTGTTTGAACAACAAACAAGAAAGTTGTCAACATAATCAAAAGCATGAGTGCACACTACGAGATATAATATTAGAGCTTAGAGATGAGTAAAAGAGCAGTTTACTTATACTTCAACATGGGAATCTAGCAGAAAAATAGCTAACAATCTGTAAAAGCACAACTTTTCTGTTTCTCATTCCCCTAAGAATCGAGAGAAAGACTCTTCACAACTTGAAAATAAATATTTAAAATTGACTAACAAAAGTTAATTTGGACTCGCATATATGAAGAGTGAAAATAAAGTGACAACAACTAAGAACAGTTGAACATGACATCAGAAACAAAACTTGGAAAACATTCAAGATTTAGACTTTAACAGTGTGCAGATTCATGATCAAATAATGAACATCAGAAGCAAAAGCATGTCATTTTCTAATCATTTTCATCAGATTTGAATTAGGATTCATAATTCCGAATTGATCAGAGTAGAATGGCCACTAGAAAACCTAGATGGGAACCAAAATAACACAGATCTGTAACAAATCGAAGTTAAGAAACAATGAAATGTCAGTGGAATACCTTGCTCTTGGTGACGGAGTCATTGACATTGATGGCAGGGAATAAGAGTGTTCCATTAGCCTGCATCTGGTAAAGCCTCTTAACTCCGGTGGTAGTCTCCTCAGAAACACCAACCAATCTGTCCTTCATCTTTCTGTACTTCTTGGGATCGACTTTCAAGCAATCACGGATGATGGTCAGCACGATCTGAAACTCAGCGTTGTCAGTGGAAGACGGATCGGGAAGCTGGCCGGTCTTCTCATAGATCTCCTCGGCCTTAACTCCCTCATGGATCAACAGCGTAGCGTCCCCACCGTCGTCAACGATCAGATCGGGACCACCTCCAGGCCCCCAGTCCAGAGCCCTCTCGGTGCACCACCAGTACTCCTGGAGAGTTTCGCCCTTCCAGGCAAAGACGGCAGCGGAATCGCGAGCGATAGCAGCAGCGGCGTGGTCCTGAGTGGAGAAAATGTTGCAGGAGCACCAGCGGACCTCAGCGCCGAGAGCAGTAAGGGTCTCAATGAGAACAGCGGTCTGGATAGTCATGTGGAGTGAGCCAGTGATTTTGGCTCCCTTAAAAGGCTGTGAGGGGCCGAATTCAGCGCGGCAGGCCATGAGACCAGGCATTTCGACCTCGGCCAACTCGATCTCGAGGCGGCCGAAGTCGGCCTGGGAGATGTCCTTGACCTTGTACTCGCGGCCACCGGCGGTCTTCTGGACGAGCAACGACATGATTGGGGGATAAGAAAGCACAGACTCTCTGAGGGAAGCTAGTAAAGCAATCGAGAGAGTGGGGGAACGGCGAAGGGAATGGGGGAGGGTAACGATGTATAAATAGGTTAGAGGGAGGAAATGGACGGTCAGGATCGCGGGTGGGGTTGGTGGATCTAGATCTAGTAAAAACTTGGCAGATCTATTGCGTAGGGATCGGAGGGTGATAAAAGACCCGGCGTGGCTACTACTATTTGGTAATCAGAAAATTAGGGCTGGGCATTTGAAACCGATCCGATGGGTTACCCGATAAGCGAACCGAAAAAATGAATTCGGTTTGATTTCAGTGGTTTTTTATTTTTATTTTTTTAGTTTTAATATTAACCAAAAATATTTTGGTTTGATTTTGGTTGAGCCTTCTAAAAATCGAAAACCAAAAACAAGCCATTTGAAAACCAAAATTAAGATAAATATAATAAAATATGTGATAAAATATAATATATTATTAAAAAAATAATTAATTATTATTTATTATCAAAAATTAAAACCAAACTAATTTTATTAATAACAAACCAATCATTTTTTAATAATTTTGATTTGATTTTGATTCTCAAAATTAAAGAAAATTTTTTTAGTTATTTTAAAATCGGTTTTGCCCATCGTGAAAAAATGAGCGTTGATGAGAAGACGGGGGAGGGAACTTTTTTTAAAAAGAAAAAAAAAACAGAATGGTTTATATTTTGAAATTAATGGGCATGGGTACTATTTTTAAAACTAATTAAAGTTTTAATTTACATTTAAAATTAAAATTTTATTTTATTAAATATTGATATTTAAATTTAAAATTTTATTATATATTTTAATATAATCAATTTTTAAATCTAAATATTAATATTTAATAACCAACTACCTAAATAATTCAATAATAATCTCTTTTTGCAAAAATTAAAAGATTATAAATTTAAATCGCATAGCATGTAAGTGAGGTGTGATAAAAAATGAGAGATGATTGGTTTCTGTTGTGCAACCAATATAAAAATATATATATTAACATTTAATAAAATAATTTTTAAATTTTAAATTAAATTTTAATTAAATAAATTAAATGTTTTTAATAAATAATAATAAATATTAATTGTTATATATTAATTTTTAATTATTAATTATATTTTAATAGTAATTTAAATCCTCTTTTCCTATATTAAAAGAATTGTTTTATTGAGTACTATATATATATATTCAAGATTTGAATCTTGAATTTATTGCCATTTATTATCACATGATTTAAACTCTTGGAAGTATGTAATTATGATTTTTGAATAATAAAGAAGACTTTTTTTTGTGGTGGTGATGAATAATAAAGAAGATAATAATGATTTTTAAAAGAAGTCACAATTAGAAATGATTTTGGTCATATTCACTATAACTATTGGAACATTAATTCAAGATTGATTTCATTGAACCGCCCTACATTGAACCGCCCTACAAAATTTACCGTCCACCATATATATCAATATATGTGAAGCCTAATAACTTTTACATCATTAATTAATTTCTGTTGTCAACGACTTAAATAATTCAGTGATAATTTATTTTTTTTAAAAATAAAAAATATTGAGTTTGAGTCGCATGACATGCGAATGAGGTAGGATAAAATATGTGAAAAAGTTATTTCTCATTATGCAACTAACATTAAAAAAAAAATTCTGTTAAAAAAAATAGTAAACCAAAGTTGTATATATGGTTTTTGGTCTATCTCTTCTAATTAGTGGACTTCCCACATGTTTGTTTCGAGGTTGGTTTCGAGGTTGGTTCGTTGACAAATTCGATCATAGTAGTACCACTAATTTTTTAAAGCAAAACATATTAATAATAATACTATTAGTTGCGACCTGAATAAATCATGCATTAATCTACTTCGTTCTTAGAAACATCGTGAGGGGACATGGGACGGAGACTTATGCTATATATTCTCTAATTTTTAATTGCTTAATGTAGTTAGAAACAAGTTAGCTGGTTACTGGTAAATTGGCAAATTCCAAATTTCTGGACTGAATTTATGTGACTTGATATATATAGATACTTTTTAGCTTAGTGTATTTTATAATATATTTATTAAAAAATTATTTTTAAATTTAAATTAAAAATAAAAAGTTTACAATTATAAATTTTAATTTTTTTTAACATATTACAATTTTTAGAGGAAGGACATTCAAACTTTAACCTTAAAATTGAAGGTGCATCTCAAAATAAAATATATAATTATTAGGTTACAAAATTTCAAGTGTTATAAATTTTAATTATTAAATCAAAAAATATGTTAAATTGAAGGGTATCAACTATTTTCTTTTCCAATTACATGATCACATTATGAGCCACAACAATACAGCAAGGGATACTTCTGAAATAATCACTAAAATAAAGGGTATTATCACACCACATTTAATGCTATAGCCTATTTTTCCATCTACAGCAGAGCAACCCTTCCTGCTTCTTCTTCATGCTCTTTATAATCTACTCTCTACACTGCAACACCTTCAGGGCTCATATCTTCAATTCTTGAATACATAACTGAGCCCTTCATTTTTCCCTGTGGTCATCCTTTTTGCTGCAGGAATAAATTAAGAATGCCGCCTCCACCGGACACCAGTAAAACAATCAAGTTAGAGCGCTACAACAGCTACGTCCGCAAGCTCCAGAGTACGAAATTGATTAATGCCTCCTCCAAGCTCCTCTTCCGGATCACCCTCCTCATAGCTCTAGTCCTCATCTTGTTTTTTACGATCAACTATCCTCCGCTCTCTGACACCTCCAATCCCCAACCTCACCACCACCACAGCTTCCTCTCCACCTCCATCTTCTCAGGTGGTTCTGCTTGGGAGAAGCAGGTCCGCCATTCCTCCACTCCTCGCCGCCTCAATGGGTTTTCCGTGCTGGTCACGGGTGCTGCCGGATTCATTGGGTCCCACTGCTCCCTCGCGCTGAAAAAGCGAGGCGATGGGGTGCTTGGATTGGACAATTTCAATGACTACTATGATCCATCTTTGAAAAGAGCGAGACAGAAACTTCAGAGCAAGCACCAAATCTTCATTGTTGAGGGGGACTTAAACGACGAAGCTTTGCTGACCAAGCTCTTCGACATCGTACCGTTCACCCACGTCCTCCACCTCGCGGCTCAGGCGGGAGTGCGTTACGCCATGCAGAATCCGCAGTCTTACGTTAGGTCCAACATTGCAGGCTTCGTCAACCTTCTCGAGGTTGCTAAATCCGCCAATCCTCAGCCGTCCATCGTCTGGGCCTCGTCCAGCTCAGTCTACGGGCTCAACACCGAGAATCCTTTCTCGGAACGGGACCGGACCGACCAGCCGGCGAGTCTCTATGCTGCCACCAAGAAAGCTGGAGAAGAAATTGCCCACACTTATAACCATATTTACGGTCTTGCCCTTACTGGGCTCCGATTCTTCACAGTATATGGTCCATGGGGCAGGCCCGACATGGCATATTTCTTCTTCACAAAGGACATCCTCCAAGGCAAAACCATCGACATTTATCGGACACAGGATGATAAAGAGGTGGCGCGTGACTTCACGTACATCGACGACGTAGTAAAAGGGTGTCTCGGAGCATTGGACACAGCAGAGAAAAGCACCGGCAGCGGAGGGAAAAAGAGAGGGCCCGCACAGCTGAGGGTGTACAACCTCGGAAACACCTCTCCGGTGCCGGTGGGAAGATTGGTATCCATTTTGGAAGCATTACTGAACATGAAGGCGAAGAAACACGTGATCAAGATGCCAAGGAATGGAGATGTTCCCTTCACACATGCCAACGTTACCTTGGCGTACAAGGACTTCGGGTACAAACCCACCGCCGATCTGGCCGCTGGGTTGAGGAAGTTCGTCAAATGGTACGTTAGTTATTACGGCGCCGAATCAAGGGTAAAAAAGGAAGGTCAGCATGCTGATGAAACAGAACGTTGATCTTGACCATCGTCCTACATGGTTCGTTTCTTCTTCTTCTTTTTTCTTATTTTTATTGAATTCCAGTATGTTTATAGTAAAAAAGGGTCGTATAATTGAGAATTTCAACTGTAAAATTTTAATTATTGAATGGGTGGAGTTTTTAATATTATTATTATTTTTTTTACAGTTTGTTGAAATTCAAAAAGTAAAGCAAGGAATCCTTTTTAGAGTCCTTATGGTCGTTCTCTCATGTGTTAAATGTACGTACCAAATATAGAGACATAGATTATGATGTAAAAGTTGATAAATGTGAAGAAAAAAGATGGAAAAAAAAAAATTAAGAAAAGGGAAATCAAGGAGGAGGTAGATCTGCTAGATTGTGTCGTGAGTGTAATGGTGGTGGGGTCTGCTGAAAGGTATGCAGATCTTAGCCATCGATTCATATAATGAAATAAAAAAAAAACAAAATTATTGTGATTGAACAACAATTATGGCACGGCATTGAAAGATTCTTTCCCCTTTTACTTTTGTTTTTTTGTTTTTTTCATAATTTTCCCCAGTTTTACAGCATGTGCATTAATCTATTTTCCTTTGTGCTTTTATGGGCATTATTATCATTAAAAAATAAAAAAAGGTGTTTTAGCACGGGAGCTTTTGGCTCCAGTGGTGTCAGGTCATATATAAGTATATTTTTTTAATTTAAGACAATGGTTTCAAAAAATAAAAAGGTGTTTCACAATTCATACTATGTTAAATTATAAAATATTATTAAATTCTTGTGTTGTGAAATAATAAAATTTTTTAAGGTATTAAAAGAATTAAACTATAAAATATTAATGATTAAAATAAAAAATATTTAATTTAAAATTTTTTAATTTAATTATTAATATCTTATAACCTAATATAATAGATTGCAAAACAGCAAGGGGTAATTGATAAAAGTTCTAAAACAAAATTTATAACTTTGTACGCCTAAAAACAGAAAGTAGGGGCTGGTTGTCTGCAAACAGATATTAGAACTTTAGCCAGTCACTTTCACTTCCGATGCTAATTGGCTAAATTCTAAACAAGGTACCATTCTACACATGGCCATGTCTATTTAGTGTCCTATCAGTAAAGCATCTTATCATTTATGGGAGATTTTTTTATAATCATTCCCCAATTTATTACAGGTAAAGACCTTTATACGATCACTTGGGCTTCATCATCTTATAACTATAACCATATGTTTGATCGTTAAGATACAATCTTTAGTTTTAAGATTAAAATTCAAATCCTTTCCTCTCAAAATTATAATTTGTTCGAAAAAAAAAAAAAACACTTTTATACAGGAGAAGACCCACTCTTACCATATTATGAAACTTGTTGTATTTTAGTTGTTATTTATACAATTTATTATAGTTTAAATGATATAAAATATCTTTAATTTATGATTAATTTAATTTCTACTAAATACTCTATTCTGGAAAATTAATTTGCATGGTTTAACTATACCTTGTGACTGTTGCCTGGCTGTTATTAAAATTGTAAGGTCAAATACCCTTTTTGGTCCCTATATTATGGGAAGAAACCCATTTTTAGTCCTTATACAAAAAAATCTCCTTTTAGATCCTTAAAGTTCAAAATTTGGCTATTTTTAATTCTTTTGTTAAATTTTGGTTGATGTAGTAAGTTAATTAACCAAAGAATTTATAGTTTTTTTTTTACTTAAATTACGTGAAAAATTCATATGGCAAAAATTGATGAGCTTTAAAATATTTACATGATGTAATTAAATGATTTTTAAGGTTATATTAGACAAAAAATTTGGCTATGTCATCAATTTTTATTATCAATTTTTGTCATGTGGATTTTTCACATAATTTAAGTAAAGAAAAAAATATGTTTTTTTCATTAATTAACATGTCACATCAGTCAAAACTTAACGGAAAAACTAAAAAAAAGTCAAATTTTGAATTTTAAGGATCAAAAAAGAGATTTTTTTAATATAAGGATTAAAAAGGACTTGTTTCTATAGTAAAAGGACCAAAAAGGATATTTACCCAAATGGTAACCTTGGACCTCAGCTGCAGGGGAGATTTCTTCATTAGTAACCCCTGATTGCTTGGGATGCTTTGCTATTTAATTACCAGTATTTATTTCCAAGGCATAGCAAATTAGCAATCATTTTCTTTAGCATTTACACAAAGATGCACAATGATGATCAAAAGATCCAAAATATCATCATGGAATTAATTGTTTACTTTTAGCCACATTATTTTTAACTAGGAAACACTACAAGAATTATTTTTATACTTAAATTGTTTTGGCTACGAGGCTTTTATGGTTAGATTTTTTTTAATTTGTGTTTTAAAGGTATCAATTAAGAGTATAATTAATATATTTTTTAGTTATTAAATTATATAAAAATTAAAAAATTGAATATTAATTTTTAATATTAATGTTATATGTATCAATTTAATTAGTTAGTTGTTAAAATTAAAATTAAAATTTATTTTTTATGTAACT